CTTATTTTCATATGAACAATGTGCCTTGATCATAACTAATCTTCCAGTTTGTGTAATGCGTACTCCAATGTTGAATCAAACAATTTTAGTATTCTTGATTTCTTGCCTCCCCAGATTTTCTTTTGTGCATTTTGTTTCTCATTCAATGTTGATCTTGAATTCGTTTAGTGCTCAGAAGCGGTACACCTCAATGTCTAACTAGTATTTTCACCCTGCCTGCTCTTTTGGAAAAGAAGCAAAAAGACAGATGAGAAGTTACAAAAAAGAGAAAGTGAGAAATCTATAATATCAAACAAGATAAATTTCAATAAATACATTCGACGGTTTCAAATAGACTCATTCAACGGCTCTAACATCCATTATTTCTCACTTACGTTGTACTATGCTTTCTGGCACAAGTTATCCGTAGTTGGTGATATACCTAATGTGTAAGAATTTGATTGGAGGAAAGGTTATTTTTCATTTAACAATTCAAAATTCCTAAAATTTTAAAAATATGGAGGAAAGAATTCTAAAGCCATGACCATCTGAAATTGATTGGTTTATATATAATTGATTATTTCATATATAGACAAGGGAAATATAACTAACTTCTGCTCATTGGTGATGTTCATGGAATTTTTGTTTGAATTGCTTCCAGATATTCATCTATCATTTACATTTTATGATAGTAAATTTATTGTATTTCAATAATTTTGAGGGATTGACTTGTTCTTCCTTCTCTGCTAATTTTGAAGGATTTGTACTTTTTTACTTCACTGTAGGATTTAATTCCCCGTTAGGGCATATATATTTGTGAAGTTTGCTAGTGAAACTTCACTTTTTCTCTGAATCTGAGGTTTAAAAGATTGTAATGGAGAGATGATTGTTTTAGGTAGACGACNTACTTCACTGTAGGATTTAATTCCCCGTTAGGGCATATATATTTGTGAAGTTTGCTACTGAAACTTCACTTTTTCTCTGAATCTGAGGTTTAAAAGATTGTAATGGAGAGATGATTGTTTTAGGTAGACGATGAGGCAGATTCAGCAGAGGTCGGGAAGTATGATGAGGTTTGTATCCTTCCTATCGCATTCCTTCTGTGTTGGTTTATTAAGTTGCTAGCTTTAGCGCTCTATAAGTCATTTGATTATCAGCTTATGATGGTTGAATTGATTTTGTTTGAATTGATCATAGAATTATGGAGAGAACTACTACGATGAATCTGACTACTCTTTTGACTCTGAAAGCTTCAGGCTCCTTAGCAGGGATACAGTCTACATGTACGAATGGTGCCATCCATTCCCCCCCCCCCCCCCCCCCCCCCCCCCCCTCTTTGTGTAGCCTAGCTAATTTATTTGAGACCGGTCAAAGATGTGGTGGAGTATAACTTCAAGGGTATAGTGTCGCTTCTTCAAAAACCTAATTTGTTAATCTGGATACAGGGAATATTGATGAACTCGTGGAATTTTGCGGAATCCTGTCGAAGATCGAAGATGTTCAGTCATTCTTGAGGGTTCCATGTTTTTGGTGAATGTTTTGGACATATGATTCCATCTTGGCAATGATCGGAATTTAAGCTTTTGATGGCATTTTCGTCCTGTTTACTTTCTCCAAGGCAAGTCATTTTTTTTGGCTATTTTAAATTTACATGAGGTGGTAGAAGTCATAACATGTAATTTCAATCTGCCTCATAGAATCCACAAAGTTTCACAGATCATGGTTCTTGCTCTAGTGTATTTTTTGAGATTAGTGAGAAAGCTTTGTTATCAAAAGGGCTTATTGTGTTTATGTTCTTTTTTCTGGGATGTTGTCTTCCGTTTCAATCATATGGCAAGTATGTGTGATGCATTGTAGCTTCTTTCATAGACATGAATAACCCATGTACTCACTGAGGGAAGATAAGCAAAACACTTTGGTGTGAGTATATGCCCTGAATCACAATGGCTTTAGCATGTCATGTGTGCCAAAACAAACCAGCCACAGATAACCGTTACACTAATTTTTCAGCCTAATTACTTTGGTTGGTGGTATTTGGATCTCCTCGATATCAAATGTTGTCAATTTCAGTCATCTATCGTCAAATTTTGAAGTTCTCATTGGGGCTCTAAGAACTTCCCAATCCATAATTGAATGGTATCTCTTTCATTTTAAATTTCACATCAGTCATTGCTATTTGTTTACTGGTAACAAGGTGATCTTCAAGTGTGCAAATCAGTAGCAAGCTACATCATCCACTGCTCAGGTATCTTATAATGCCTGGACCATTCTGAATGAAGCTACATTACCTCAACTTGGAGATTTGCATCAGGAAAGCTAGCTCACCAATCAATATTGTCCGCCCATCTACTTGAATAATGCAGCTTAAAATGTAATGGTGAAGACTAGATTGGTTTCAAGGGTGTGACAACGTACATCCCACAACATTTGTCTAGGAACAAATGTAGAGCACTACTTCTAGGTTCGGTTGGCTGCCTTTCGGTGAATATTCAGCATAAGATGCTGATGCTTCTAGCCTAAAGATGCTACAAACTACAAACCAGTCTACAGTTGGATTTAGGAATTCAATCCATCTCTTATTCAGGAGTCAGAGTAATTCAAAAGAAATATGTTATTTGTACTTAAAAAGTTGACATAATTTAATGGTTCCGATAAATACTGAAATTCACAATTAAATCAATGACAATAATTGATTAAGTCAATTTTTTAAATCTTTACAACATTGCTCCAAAATTGATAACAACATGACTTAAGAAACAAGTTAATGAGATTTTTGAACTTGTTTTGTAAATAAGTTGAATGCTTCAACTCAAGTTTGAGAAAGGGGTTAGCTACTTTCTAATTTCAAAATTAGAAGATCATTCTTCAATTATCTTTGAATAGTAGACATGTCTATATCAACAATTTCAATTCAACTTGAATTCCAAAACTCAAAATACTTTTTGGATAAGATATAATTTGAGACAGATGTTTATCATTCAAAAAAAAATATTAGAGAATAATATAATTATTTTAAAATTAAATGGGCGCGACACCCTTGATAAAAACATTTAACTCAATGGTTGAACTCGACTCGTGTCCCAATGAAAGATAGAGATGAGTTGTAAATTCAAATGTTTTAAATTTGAAACTCGATGTGGATGGTCTGCCTTTGATTAAATTAAGAAGGAAATTAGTCAATGTGGGTGTAAACTGGCGTTGATACATAATACCAAAAAAAATTCAAAACAAAATTAAAAAAGTAAAAATAATTTCACTTTGCACTCTAAAAGATACTTCAACTCTCAATAGTACTTTCTAACATTAAAAAACTCAATTTGTACTCTCGATATTATGAATTGGTAACCATATGAATCCGACTTATATTATTGTTCAATTTTTCATCATAAACTGAAGCACATGAGGTGCACGTATTCTAGACATAATGACAAAGTTTGTCCATTACTTTAGATTTTCGTTTGTGATCAATTTGATGTTATTTTATATATTGAAAATAGGGATTCATTAGTCAAATAGAGACTAACCCTACCATGTATAACTCATATGACATGCTAATAGTTTGTAAATTTACAAATAAGTTCATGACCGAGGTATTTGGAATTCATGTACTTCAATTTATAGCAAAAACTTGAACGACAATCTGAGTCAGATCCATATATATTACTATCGATTCATAACATTATTTGAGGGCATAAATTAAAATTTTTAATATTTAAGAAAATAAATTAATAATTGAAACAGTTTTCGACGTGGAAAGTGATATTAGCCCAAAAAAGAATATGAAGATATTTCATTAACTCAATTCGCACGCGCCTACGTATTAGGATCTTTGGGCTTTTAAATCGTAGTGCGAAAAAGACACTAAATAGAGCCCAGGCCCAGAGCAAAGGGCTGCTGGTTCTTCTTCTTCTTCATCTTCTTCTAGCCACAAACTCCTTCACCGCTCTGGCCTGAAAAAAATGGAATGTGCTCTCGGGTTCACAAGCACCTCTCCGCTTCCTCTGAGTCCATCGGCGTTCTCGCCTCAGTTCCCTACAAAGCTCAGATTATCGGTTGGCTTTGTCTTTCTCAATTCTTTTACTGCTTTCTTTATATCTTTGTCGTTAATTAATAGAAATTTTATTTGCAAAAAGCAGAGATTTGTGAAGCATTCAAGCTCGGGAGAGTATCGTAATCGTAATCTGGTGAAATTCAAGGCTTGTGGGTCGGACGAAAATCTTTATCTTAATGGACTTCCTATCACTCCCAACAAGATTTTCATGGAAGAGGTATTTTTTCGTTTCTCTTTCTGTCAAGTTTTCGTTAATTGTCAGTGTTTATGTCTTTACTTTATTTGGAAGATGAATTAGTGAAGTCAGTGATGGGTTTTTGAGTTTCCACTTCTATTGTCTCAATGCTTGATGGTTTGGGAAAAATAGTGTTGAGGTTTGTTTCTTATATTCAATCTTGTATCAGGCAATTGGAGCTGAATACGGAGAAGGGTTTGAGACTTTCAGACCAGATGGACCCCTGANTATGAATCCGACTTATATTATTGTTCAATTTTTCATCATAAACTGAAGCACATGAGGTGCACGTATTCTAGACATAATGACAAAGTTTGTCCATTACTTTAGATTTTCGTTTGTGATCAATTTGATGTTATTTTATATATTGAAAATAGGGATTCATTAGTCAAATAGAGACTAACCCTACCATGTATAACTCATATGACATGCTAATAGTTTGTAAATTTACAAATAAGTTCATTACCGAGGTATTTGGAATTCATGTACTTCAATTTATAGCAAAAACTTGAACGACAATCTGAGTCAGATCCATATATATTACTATCGATTCATAACATTATTTGAGGGCATAAATTAAAATTTTTAATATTTAAGAAAATAAATTAATAATTGAAACAGTTTTCGACGTGGAAAGTGATATTAGCCCAAAAAAGAATATGAAGATATTTCATTAACTCAATTCGCACGCGCCTACGTATTAGGATCTTTGGGCTTTTAAATCGTAGTGCGAAAAAGACACTAAATAGAGCCCAGGCCCAGAGCAAAGGGCTGCTGGTTCTTCTTCTTCTTCATCTTCTTCTAGCCACAAACTCCTTCACCGCTCTGGCCTGAAAAAAATGGAATGTGCTCTCGGGTTCACAAGCACCTCTCCGCTTCCTCTGAGTCCATCGGCGTTCTCGCCTCAGTTCCCTACAAAGCTCAGATTATCGGTTGGCTTTGTCTTTCTCAATTCTTTTACTGCTTTCTTTATATCTTTGTCGTTAATTAATAGAAATTTTATTTGCAAAAAGCAGAGATTTGTGAAGCATTCAAGCTCGGGAGAGTATCGTAATCGTAATCTGGTGAAATTCAAGGCTTGTGGGTCGGACGAAAATCTTTATCTTAATGGACTTCCTATCACTCCCAACAAGATTTTCATGGAAGAGGTATTTTTTCGTTTCTCTTTCTGTCAAGTTTTCGTTAATTGTCAGTGTTTATGTCTTTACTTTATTTGGAAGATGAATTAGTGAAGTCAGTGATGGGTTTTTGAGTTTCCACTTCTATTGTCTCAATGCTTGATGGTTTGGGAAAAATAGTGTTGAGGTTTGTTTCTTATATTCAATCTTGTATCAGGCAATTGGAGCTGAATACGGAGAAGGGTTTGAGACTTTCAGACCAGATGGACCCCTGAAAATCGATGTGGTAGAAAACAGAAATAGTTGCCTCTCTCTCTCTCTCTCTCTCTCTCTCACACACACACACACACTCACACTCACACTCGCATGCACACACAAACATACGCAGGCGTGTATAGTCTGGGAATTTGGCTGTGGTGCTGCGAAGATTATTTTCAGTGGCTCAGCGTTGTTTTGTATCTTTTATGAAGGATTTTCTGAATGATAGATTACAAGAGGGTTTTCTTCAACGAATCCGCTATGCTATGAAACCTGATGAAGCATATGGGCTTATATTCTCTTGGGACAATGTGGTGGTAAGTTCTCAAACTTTGGCCATGTGTGTATTCTTAGTCATATGATGCATATTCAATTATCTGAGTGAATTTATTTTTACATGCTTCTGTAATGTATAATATAACTAGAATTATGTATTGTGGAACTAACATATGGTGATAAATGAGCAACGAAGATGGGAATCCAGAGGCAGTTGGTTATTTCGTCAGTACAGTGGTGATGTGGCATTAATTCATTACCTACCATACAGTCCCACAAGCTGAAGCTAAATTCCAGATGCCTCAGATAATTGAAATAATTAATAATATCTTAACCTTCAAAGTTCATTGGTATTTTGTTCCACATTTAAGAAGAAGTGCCACATTCAATTTAAAAGAAGTTCATGTATATCATATATTAGCCTAACTACGTCTGTCAAACAACATGAAATTGCATGATCTTATATCTGTAGAAACCAGGGAATTTACTGGTTTTTCTGAATTCTGTGCATTTTGTCTTGAAAGTTGCTTGTTTATTTGCTTTGTCAAGAAACATAACCATATGTTTGGGTGGAAAAACTCGTAATGGGTACGAAAAATCTTAAGCTGTTTCAGCGAGAATCAAAGATTAAGCTGTGCAGCCCACAATACTGGGAAAAGTGGGATTTCATCATAGATTAAGAAGCCCTAGTCAGCATTTCTTGTATCTTTCATGCACAAGTAGTAAGTATAAGTGGAAATTGGTAGGACTTTGTGTTGCGCTAGAGACATGTATTGGCATTTTTGTGAGGCACTCAAATTGGATTTAAATGGTGAAGAGTAACACTGAGTAGTGAGACTATTTAAAGGGGTGTATTGGCAGAATAGGATTCAACTGACATCAGGAAAGTTGGAGATTGGAGTTAGAATATTAATCATCTTTGATGCTTCTTCATATATATTATACTTCCAAAGCTAGTATGTCATTTTTTTACCATGTAATTGCGCATGTATTGTGTTTCAGGCAGATACTCGAACATTGAAGCTGAATGCTTGGAAACAACTTGCATCTGAAGAAGGTATATAAATGTTTTTCCCTGTGGTGGGTTCCCTCACTAATAATTAATAACTTTTAAGCTTATGACTCCTGCAAATTCTAAAGGTCTACATAAAGTGTGAATCACAAGAAAGATAGAATCACTAAGCATGCCATCAATATGTGAGGTAGATAACATTGGCAACTATCACAATAAGTGAATATGAATAGTTTTTTCTTTACTTTGTGTCACACAACATGTGAGTCTTCCCTATTATGTGTTGCTCAACTTGCACTCAAGTGGATGGTGATGGTGGAACATTAGACTTGTCTTTTGCCCAAGAATTTTGCATTTCAGTAATCATTTTTGATAGAAAATGCATTTTTATCATCTAGTATTCGGATCTGGAAAGATGGGATATTTTGGGGGAATAATAGAATTAGAGATGTCTTCTTCCCTCTGATCTCTCTCTCTCTCTCTCATTCATGATATGATTTCAATTTTGGTGCAGGTAAGGAGATTCCTGAAGGTAGCACTGTGCAAAGACTTTTGCTTTATGCTGATGCTGAGCATGTTCTGCATAAGGTTTGTGAATTTGTGACTGTATAAGCTATGACTTCATTTAAATTGGATACCTATTTGTTGCAATTATCATCAGGAAGTAATTTTAGGCTTTTAGCAAGGGACTTGAGGACTGAAGCTTCATTTAGGCGGATCATATTTATTAATTCTATGGCATTGGTGAACTTTCTGCTTATCGGGTTGCAAGAAGTCATGGCAAAAGAAATGAAAATTTGGAATTTATGATGCCTTTTGTCGGAGAGGGTAATAAGTTTTGAGTTACATTATATATCTTTATTTGATGTAATATAAACAACAATCAGTTATCTTTGCAAAATTGAGTAAATCTCGAAAGTAAAACCATTTCAACAGATATCAGTCCTGCAATTATAACTAGCTTACCATATTGCAACAGTGCGACCCCATTTAGGCGCACACTATGACAACTTGTTGTCTAAAGTGTGCATGCCATGTTCCTGTGTTTGTTATATGAATGATCCCTGTGTTGTATTATGTGGTCTCAATTGACCTCAAGGAAGAGGGCAGGTTAAGTAAACCAGTGAACCTGTCTACTGGCATGGGCTGATCTGACCTGTTTTTTCTCAACTTAAACAAACTGCTTTGCTCATGTTCCAAGTCCCCACTCTAGTGCAATCCAATTTTAACAGCATAGGGCAGTTAACAGCTGCCTACTTTGATCTGGTTGTATGCTTTCAGGCTGGAGTTATATCCTGACATGCCAATGTCATCATACTGACTAAATATGGCAATGGGGTATGCTTTAATACTTGCTGTTTTGTGTTTAAGGGAATTTTATGGCTTGGCTAGGGCGCTAAAGTGGGTTCTTGGATCTTTGTATTTCAAGGCTGACATTTCAATGATAAAAGGGGCTGTGACTATGAAAGATCTCTCAGTGATTTCACTGCCTTCGTATTCCTTTTTGTGTATGTAGCTGTCTACTAGCATTTTAGAACTTTATTTTTACAATAGAAAGTATGTTCTTCTCCAGTAGTGTGTCTCTGTTATTTATACAAGTGTATTGATTTATAAAATAAAAGAAGATTGTTTGGGTCATTGATAAGTTTGTGATTTATTTTTTTCTCAACCACAAGATGTCTCTTACAAGTTCTCAGCAACTTTCAGGTTTTGCCATGGGGGGAGGCAGAAAGAGAACTGGATAGACTGAAGTTGAGGCTTTCAGAAATATATTATGACAATCTTCTAAAAGTGAGTTTCTGTCCTGGATGATTTTATTGGTGGTATGGCTTTGGCTTGACTGCAATAGCTTCTTCCTCTCATTCTTCGTCTCTATCAGCTCTCAGAACCTGTGGAGGGCCTAAAGGAATGGTTAGATGCAGTATCTACCGCTCGCATTCCTTGCGCCGCTGTTTCAAGTTTTGATCGAAAAAATGTGGTTGAAGCCTTAGAGCGAATGGGACTCAAGAAGTATTTCCAGGTTAGTTACCGTTAATTTTCATTTGAAGAGTTTGACATAGTTTTCCAACGCTGATAATGAGAGAAATAGCATGCTATGATATCATGTGTCCATTCTGAGATTCCAGCAGTTTTCTTATTTCGTATATTTAAACATATGCAATTGGTCAATTGATATGATAGTTAATTGATGTATTACAATTTGAAAGGATATGGTTGCATTGATAGTGGGAATATCTTTTTCAATATCTATTGAAAATGCATTCTGCTTGTGCTTGCAATGTTAATGTGATGTCATTTCAGATATTATATCCCGAACTCATTTTTTCTCCTAGTTCTGGTTGTCGGCTATGGACTTCTGTCACAAATGTAGATGTATGACATGAGAAAATCATAGGAAATATATATTACCGGATCTGATGGCCCAGGAGCTCTTTAAGATGATGCCAAATGGTTTTTGGGTTTCAGGCAATTGTGACCGAAGAAGACGGTATGGAGTCCATTGCTCATAGATTTCTCTCCGCTTCGGTGAAGGTATGGTTTAACCATCATAAAAACTTCCTATCGGACATGCCAATTCCATATACTAATGGGAGAAAAGAATAAAGAAAGAAAAAACAGTTGAATGTATGCAATATTCACACGCTCCATTTCACTTGTTTGGGCATGGACTGAGTTCCAGTGTACCTCACTCTGTAAGTGTCAGCTTTCTTATTTGGGATTAAGAAAGGGATGCTGTATTAGTACAGAGAAGCAAAAGCAGGGTTACTATTTTAAAGTTAATTTGGTTTTCACTTTGAGAAATTTTTCTACAGTTGGACCGAAAACCATCCAAGTGTGTTGTGTTTGAGGATGACCCAAGAGCCATTACCGCTGCTCACAACTGTACAATGATGGCGATAGCATTGATTGGTGCTCACCCAGCGTACGTACTCACACCTTTTAGTTGTACCAGAAATCAAGTCACTCTGTTATATTGGATGTTAATCAGCAAATGTGTTTCCCTCCATCATAGAATTTAAAAGACATCAATTTTGCTTCATAATTGGAATAATTTTCTCGTTTTCATTATAAGTAGCTTTGTTAAATATTTAATTTCTTTTGATGGCTTCACCTGGACAAAAGATCTAATCATTTGGTGCTGAGAAAACTAAAAAAAATTCCGTGATGACTCAATACCCAAATGCATTGTTATTCATTTGAATTATTTATTATGGTCTTGAACCATTGATAGCGTGGAAAAAATAGACACTTCTAATAGGTGTAGTCAGAAATTGATGTTCGAAGTTGAAAGATGCAGGTATGATTTAGAGCAGGCTGACCTCGCAGTTGCTAGCTTTAATGAGCTGTCTGTAATCAACCTCCGAAGATTATTTTCTCAAAAGGGCTTCACTTTCATGGAGCTGCAAAAGCAGATAATAGAGAAAGCTCCTCGCAGAAGGAAGCTTACCATTGATACCATTTTCTGATCCATTTCCTTTCTGTATACAGTATACTCCTCCCTCATTCTATTATTTGCATTGTAAAGTTGTGATTAAGGAGCTTAGGCATCTCATTAATTTTAGTACTTTCTTTTGTTTCTTTTATGCCATTATTTTTTTTCCCACTTGTGTATATGAAATTTGCTACAGAAAAATGAATAAAAATTACTCTCTCGGGTAATTGGATCATTATCTAAGTTTCATTGATCAGAATGCTACTAGAAATAAGCAATTATACTTTGGTGTAAATTAGATGTTTTAATTTAACTCAAGTCACAATGGCTAGTCGTTAAACTCAAGGGAATAGTCGGTGCTCAACAATCTATATCCAAAAAAATAAAAAAAAATAGATGTTTGNAATTATACTTTGGTGTAAATTAGATGTTTTAATTTAACTCAAGTCACAATGGCTAGTTGTTAAACTAAAGGGAATAGTCGGTGCTAAACAATCTATATCCAAAAAAATAAAAAAAAATAGATGTTTAACCCTTGGTAGTTATAATCTTTATCAATTGTTGCAATCGTGGAGTCAAAGGTGGGAGTATTAGAACGTGGCCGGTCTGCTGGTTGGGCCTAAGGTTTGGGGCGATTGGCAGTGGGAAACACAAGCTTCACGACAGTTAGAAGTCTTTGAATGTTAATTGAGTCTGAGTTTTTAGAGCTTTGATATGCTCAGGCTCAGTTGAGTTTGGTTGTCTAGTTTGAATTTGTGTTTAAGTTTAGATGACATGTTCAAGCTTGTCAAGACTGAATTCATTTTCTGTTTATTATAATTGTATAGTCGAAGTCGAAGACAAAATTGAGCTGACAATCTCTTTATTAGCAAGAGTGCCTTTTTCATTAATCAAAAGGTGCTTGAGGGGTNTAGATGACATGTTCAAGCTTGTCAAGACTGAATTCATTTTCTGTTTATTATAATTGTATAGTCGAAGTCGAAGACAATCTCTTTATTAGCAAGAGTGCGCCTTTTTCATTAATCAAAAGGTGCTTGAGGGGCTTATCTGTTACAATATGTCACATAATAATGGATGTCAGTGTAATTTCATAAAAAACAAGGAGTGCAGTGAAAGTGTTAGAAATAATAAGGGGTATCAGTATAATTTACCCTTTTTTTTTTTTTTAGAGGGGTAAGTTTCAATCTGTCTAAGTTGATCTCGATTAACCAGTTAAAACAGAAAAAAAAAACAGTTTGTTGTCAATTAGACATCTTGATATCCCCATAAAGTTGTTGGCCTACCTCCTCTGTGGAAGTGATGAGCTCATGTGCTTGTAATGAGTAGGCTCTCTCTTGCCCCAATGGGGCAAAGCTGGTGGCTTATAATTTGGCTAGTTATAGGTCCCACCCTAACCATTGTAATGAAATCAATTGTTTGATATCATCCTATTCTATGTTTACATCAAACATTTGGGAGAGTTGGGGGTAATCTAATTCAAATTTAAACGCAAACCCAAACTCAAACTCAAACTCACCGTCCTATATATATGTAGGGATGGCCCTTCTTGGGGCTAAGAATTTGGGTTGTTGAGTATAGGTGGTGCCTTGAGTCATGGTAGTAGAGGGAGAAGGAGAGAAGTGTTTTTTTTTTAAATTTAAAATTTTTGTAACATAATTTTCAATCGGGAAAATATAGAAAATATATTTAAAATTTAATTTAAATTAAAGTTGACTGATCATAGTTATTGGAAGGAAATTGGTGATCAAATCGGACTTTTGGATAGTCAACAAAAGATCTATAAGTTGATTGAAATTAATTTTGCAATATCAAGGATTCTCCATAGTTTCTTAAAATTTGGGGGGGATCTAGTACAATAAATGTAAATCTCAACCGTAGTTTATGTAAATTATTCGAATCCCAAGCTGTACTCCGTTTGTCCTTGTATATACTNTTTTTTTTTTAAATTTAAAATTTTTGTAACATAATTTTCAATCGGGAAAATATAGAAAATATATTTAAAATTTAATTTAAATTAAAGTTGACTGATCATAGTTATTGGAAGGAAATTGGTGATCAAATCGGACTTTTGGATAGTCAACAAAAGATCTATAAGTTGATTGAAATTAATTTTGCAATATCAAGGATTCTCCATAGTTTCTTAAAATTTGGGGGGGATCAAGTACAATAAATGTAAATCTCAACCGTAGTTTATGTAAATTATTCGAATCCCAAGCTCCGTTTGTCCTTGTATATACTAATGAAGCTGTCATTGATGCCTTGATTAGCAATCTTGTGCAGTGAATGTTACAAGATCATAACGGACATGGAATCTTTTCCAGGAATAAGCTACTAATTGAACAGCAGATTTCCTCTCTCTCTCTCTCTCTCTCTCTCTGGGTGATACGCCGTAGAAGTGATCCAAACCGGCGCAACCTTCTCATTCCTAGGAGACTCCATAAAAGGCCTTTGCAAGACTGTATTTTGTCTCTATTTCTCTATACAAACACCTCATTTATCTTCTCTCTCTCTCTCTCTCTCTTCAAGGTTTGGGATCCATCCGAAGCTCTTCGGTTCCTGAAGGTACTTTTCCTTCAACCCATTTTTCATTCCTANGTATTTTGTCTCTATTTCTCTATACAAACACCTCATTTATCTTCTCTCTCTCTCTCTTCAAGGTTTGGGATCCATCCGAAGCTCTTCAGTTCCTGAAGGTACTTTTCCTTCAACCCATTTTTCATTCCTAAAAAATTCACTAAATTGTGAGTCCTTCTTTGATATGGGTGATTATTTGAATCATGGGTATGTTTATATGTACATCATATAGCAGCATCAGCAGATTGGGTATTTTAAATTTGTTTTTTCTGAAATATACATCTTGAATTTGTTCCATTTGAGTGCTGCATATCTAGGTTCTTCTTCTTTTTTTTTTTTTTGTCTTATAATTTTTTTGAGGCTCAATTTTGAAATCTGTGGCCATGTTGGAGATGTATTTGCATATATTTTTTTCAAAATTATGTCAGTTATTTAATATGATGTGGTGATATGGTTATCCTCATTGAATCAAGCTGGTTGCAGCTTCGATCATGTTAATTGATGTTATGTTGTATGTCCACCATCTTGTTTTCTTTCATTTCTGATGGATCACATGTCTGCATTTTCTTTGTAAGCTGGTTGCTGAATTTAGCATATTATTGTGTTTTATATATGTTATTTATCAGTAACTAGGGCAGTCTTAAAACATTTCTGTTTACTCTTCAAGGATGAATCCATTTGTTCAGAATTTACAGTCGTATTTGCAAGGCAATTGAATAAGTTTCCCGCAAGATTGTTAATTTTCTCTGGAAAAAATGACACTTGGTTTCATTTGTTACAGCTATACAATTTGTCATTGACAGCCAAGTGTCTGGGAATGCAGAAAGATGTGCTTGGACGCTGATTTTTCCTTCTTCAAAGCCTGTGAGATTGTACATCAATTGAGGGTGCCCCAACTTGTTCTTGATAATGTTGGACACCCAGATCCGAGCACATTTAATATTTGTACTCAGATGCACAATGAAGCCACAAGGTATAATCTAGCTGTTGAGTGGAAACACGACCTGGGTGAAGACGGTTGAGTTCACCAAGTTGATCGACTCTTACCCTGTAAATTATTTGTATCTTAGCAGCAGGAGAACATCATTTGTAGTCCTGCTGTAGGGTGTGATTCAAAATGGAAAATAAGGGTAATGTCTTGATGCCAAGATATGATTTTGGGAGATTATTAGGCCAAGGAAACTTTGCTAAGGTTTACTATGGGAGAAATCTCAAATCTGGCCAGAGTGTGGCCATAAAGGTAATTGACAAAGAGAAGGTTCTGAAGGTTGGGCTGATCAATCAGACCAAGCGAGAGATTTGTGTCATGGGAATGGTAAAGCACCCAAATGTGGTGCAGCTTTACGAGGTTATGGCCACCAAAACCAAGATTTACTTTGTCATGGAATATGCCAAAGGTGGTGAGCTCTTTAACAAGGTGGCCAAGGGAAGGCTCAGGGAAGATGTCGCTCGGAAGTATTTCCAACAATTGATTTGTGCTGTCGATTTTTGCCACAGCAGGGGTGTTTATCACCGGGATTTGAAACCAGAAAACCTGCTGCTGGATGACAATGGAAATCTGAAGGTATCAGATTTTGGATTGAGTGCACTTTCTGAGTCTAAGCACCAAGACGGGTTACTCCACACAACATGTGGGACCCCGGCCTATGTTGCTCCTGAAGTGATAAACAGAAAAGGCTATGATGGGCCCAAAGCTGATATCTGGTCTTGTGGGGTGATCTTATTTGTTCTACTGGCTGGTTACCTCCCATTCCATAATTCAAATCTTATAGAGATGTATAGGAAGATAAGCAAGGGTGAGTACAAATGCCCTAATTGGTTTCCATCAGAAGTGCGTAGGTTCCTGTCAAAGATACTTGATCCAAACCCAGACACTAGGATTAGCATTTCCAAAATTATGGAAAATCCTTGGTTTAGAAAAGGTTTGAACTGCAATTACGTAAGAACCAAAGTGGAAAGCAAGGGAAAGGTTCCACTAAATGCTGATCCTGTTTCTGGTCCTTCTGGTAATAACATTGCTGCTACTAAGGCAAAACTGGAGTTGGCAAAGCCAGCTAATTTGAATGCCTTTGATATTATCTCTCTCGCAACAGGGTTTGACTTGTCTGGTTTGTTTGTGGAAAATGACCAAAAGGAGGAGGTGAGATTCACATCCACACAGCCTGCCTCAGCTATCATATCCAAAATTGAGGACATTGCTGGGCATCTGGGGCTGAAAGTAAAGAAGAAGGAGGGAGGATTGTTGAAATTGGAAGGATCAAATGAAGTTATTAATGATCCATTGTCCATCGATGTGGAAATATTTGAAATCACACCATCCTTTCATCTGGTGGAATTGAAAAGGTCTTGTGGTGATACATTTGAGTATCAAAAGATGTTGAAGCAGAATATAAGACCAGGTCTTGAGGAAGTTGTTTGGGCCTGGCATGGTGAGACACGAAATCAAGAGCAAGGATGATGACTACACCAGCTGCTATCTTTCGATATGTTCTTATCAGAAGTTGTCTGATGTTTGTATAGGTACTTCACCATAATTTGCAATTTGTTTAAGCTGTGATTCCTTGTGACAGTTAGTGTTTGTGAGTTTGTTAAGGTACGTGGCCCGAAGGAATCTTCTTATTGTTTCAGTTGTGAGCCTTCTTTGTTATCTAATATCAATTACCTGTATTGTGGTTCTGTTGTCTTTATAATAATAGTTTCAGTTTTTGTCCTTGCTTTGGCCCCTTGGTTGGTGCTCATAAACTACTCTTAGCTCTGTTGTAATCATTATAGATACTTCTCATCAGGGCTGATAGTATACAAGTGAATACCAAAGAAAAAAAAAAATAAAGGGCATCAATCAGATTATAGTCAGGAAAGCAGTGGAACCATCTAAAGTGTCTTGCCCTTGACCTATGTATGGTATTTCTCTGGGGGTCTGGTGAATTTCTCACTGATAAGGTGGTCCATTAGCTTGTCCTTAATAGTTTAATGGCAGTGGATCAGCTTTGCTTTGGCTTGTTCAAGCACAATCTGTCTGGCCCAAGCTCCTCATTGAATTGATTGGTTGCTCTGTGCCACAATGCTTGATACTACTAGCATACAGATTGGCCATTAACAATTGGTGAAATGGGTTCAGAAATTTCTTGGGAACTTGGGTACACATTATCTTCTTATTCTTGGGGGTGGGGTCATATGGTTTTTAGAATCTACTTCTCTCTTCCGTTCATGGGCAAACCATTGATTGGTGCAATGGTAAAGCTGTAGCATGAGGTCAAGTATAAAATTAGACTGTAAATATAATGCCACATGCTTAATGCTTCGGCTTGTATTGTTGGGGAATGTGATATGCACGGGATTTACACTCCTACCCACCCCCCACGAAACCCATCTCCGCCTGTCCTACTATAGTCCCCCTCACCCTCCACCCGCAATCTTTTTATTTTCTCTATTATTGTAAGAGAAAGAAAAGGAAAATAAGATGACAGGTTAAAAGAGAAGAGGAACAAAGATATTCATAAGATAAACCAGTTAAAGTTTTGATTGCCAAGTAATATTAAGACTTCAAAAATTTTAAGAAACAGAATTAAGGATTAGAGATTGGAGGAATCTAAAGCAATGTAGAAGGCTCATAAGTAATGGATTGCAATGCTAATTTTGTTTAAAGGCAAATACAACACCCTGAGAAAACTAACAATTTGCAAGCATTAGGTGTCCAATGTGGAATCGTGGATGATACAGATTTTGGGATTTTGTGTGTGATGTGTTTCAATTTGGATCCTACTTCAAGGGTCCATATTAGGACACAAACCATGACAGAACAATAGTTGGAATCTCTCATTGTTGGGAATGTCCCTATCAAATGTTGTATGGCACTACACATGAAATGGTAGAAAACAAAGAGAAGAATAATGCTGAAGTTGAATGCCTGAAAGTTATTAAAGAATACAAAAGAAAGAAAGAAAGAAACCAATGGAACAAAAAAGGTATAGAAACACTGCTCAATCCTTTGTGTTATTAAGACCACTAATATGGACAGTGTGTCGGCCACATTCATATTAATTTGCATATGGTTTTGGTGAGGAACCTATCAAGTTACAACTCCTCGCATATGGTTTTGTTGGGAACTAATAAAAGTTTCAACTTTCCCAATTCACTTCAAGGACCCTTCCCCGATTCTCCCCCTTCTTTTTTTTCCCTTGCTTTCTGTTGTGATTTTTTATATGGTCTTAAGATGAAAATGGAATTTAATATTTGGGACAATTACTCCGGGCCGAACAAATTGTAAAGGCTAATTCTGTGTACTGGAAGAGGTGGCCGTGGTGCTGATATTCAGGGTCAAGGTGGCGGCGCTGAGGGTGGTGCCATTGTGGAGCTAGTTGGTTGTAGTTGTTGGTTGGATAAGGTGTTACAGTGTTTTAGAATTGATGGTGGTGGTGGTGGTCGTGGTCGTCAATAGCATGGATACTAGTTGATTCCTTCTTATCTTTTCAGGCTTTTAGTCATAAAAATGTTCTTCTATTTCATAAGAGCCTTAGAATCAAAAGCTATAGGATCGCATCTAGCCCTTGACATGGCGGAATAACTGAATAAGTGTCTGGAAAGTGTACTTCACTTGTGGTGAAGATGGAAGACACACTGACAAACTTCAAGAAGATAGAGAAGGAATAAAGTAAAGTTGACAGTTATGGTGAAAAAGTTGAAAAGGATATATTATTAACGACCGGTCTTAGTGCATCAGTAAGGTTGTTTCATTTGGGATTTAAGCATAACAGGTTCCGCTTACGGAAATAGTTTCTCCACACACGGTATAAGATTGTGTATCAATATCATTCCCCAAATCATGATATAGCGGGAGTCTTATGCACTATAGTGCCAAAAAACTTAGGTTGCCCGTCAATGCGAGAGATACCAGTTGTCCCCATTTATGTCAAGGCAAAAGGTGTGTTCCATGAAGTGTTATTCCATATAGAGTTAGGCAAACTACATCTTCCTAACATTTAGGATTTGTTCCTCTGCATAAAGTTGTGGCTACCTATTCTCTCCTGTCACTACAGCATCTGAATTACAGGTTCTTGTATAAGATGTCACACCTTAGGTTCAACACGTCCGCAATTGGGATAGAATTTTCTGCAGAATTGCATACACATGTAGTGTTTTCTGCTGTCAAGTTCATGGAAAAGAAGACAAGGGAGAAGAGATTTCATTTGAAGGATTCCTTTTGCTAAAGGAATTGAAGCCACTCAGAACACCAAGTTCTATTCTGAAATGACCTGTCTAATCTCATTTGATTTATTATTCTTGTAGTATGTTGATTTTTGCACCTTACACAAGGTAGGTAAGTCTATGGTATTAAGATTTCATATATCGATACTATACCCAAAAAATTATTCTCAGTCGTAGATTGTTTTTTAAGAAATTTATAGTCATTGAACATAAAAATATTAAAATTTTAATTAAAAAAAAGATGTCCAGTGGGAACTGGGCAAAGGGCAAGGGTGCCAGCAAGGTGGAAAGGGCCCACTGAAATGATTGGATAGTACCAGAACAGCTAATATATACAATCATGGTAAGGTGTAGAGTTCATACCTTTATTGCAGTCAATAGATACCATTTTAGGTTCATGCATGAAAATTTCTCATTTATGGGCATGGATGATCTTTCTATTTGAACTATGCCATTGCTCAGCTGCCTCTTTTTCACATTGAAGACTATGAACTGTGGAAAATTTTTGTCAGAAATGTATTTAGGGTTGATAATTATTAACATGATGCACACTAATTTGACATGAAAGTTAACACACACACATTGTGTTTAATATTAACAGAATCGAATTATAAATGGGTTAACTCTCTAAACCTATTTAATAAATGAGAGAAAACGAACCTGGCTAAACACACGATTAATACACATACAAATTCTATATAACCCGAACGTGACTCTATTCGATTATAAACAAATTGAATATAGGTTAACCAAAGTTTGTCCCAATAAAACCCAAAAACAAGACGCTTGGTGACTCGTTGACCACCTAAAAACTTTAACTTGAAAATGAAGGGTAATTAAATGAAGAACACTCCATTCTTCTAATCTCAATGCTCTCACCCATTCCCTTCTCCTTATACACATATTAGTATGTGGATGGCTTTAGTGAGGAAAAGAAAGGTAGAAAGTGAAGCAACCTCACATGATACATGTCAAGCATTTGAGAGAGCAGTGGTGAGTGATCCTTGGCTATGCAACATCTTGGAAAGGTTGAATCTTTTGATTCACCGAACCAGCACGAGAGAGAGAGAGAGAGAGAGAGAGAGAGAGACAACTGTGACAACTTGTACTTACATCTCACATCATCTTTCACTAATAAAAAAGAAGACTGATCCATGAAGGAAGAGCTTTGTCCTGCTTTCTTACCCATAATTTGAAAGCAACTAAAAAAGACTCCTCGCTACTGGAGGACCATTGAAAGTTCAACAACATGAACTTGTAGGCCCATATCTCACTTTCTTTCCTTTCACTCTTATTCTGCCATCATTTGAACTGCATTTCTTTTTCTTTTTGCCCAAAGCAAGTTAGGATTCAGAGACACCATTATGATTCAGGATAAGAAATCCGTGTTTGGGTAAAAATAGGAATTCTAATCCCAAGTAAAACTCAAGTAATAGCTAAGTAAAAAAAGAAACGAGTTTAAATTTAGACATATTGATTTAGAATTTTAGCAATTCTTTAATGTCAGATCACGAGGAATTTATCCCTCTTGAATATCTTAGTTTTTCCATGAATAGTCTGCTTTTGACCGGACGATAAAGAAAATTAGTCGAGGTATACATAAATTGACTCAAACATTCCTGACAATTTAAACCAAACAAAAAGATAATAGGAATGCTATTAAAACCTAAAAATTCGACCGAATTTCTTAACCTGATCATGCGGCAGCTGAAATGGTCCAATAACATTATTATAATTACAATTGATAAACTTGTTCATCGGAAGCTGCTTTTATCATTTGACACGTCATCAGAACATGATATTAAATTTGATTTTTGGATCTTAAAAATATTATTCTTCGGGTAATAATGCACCACCGCTGTAAANGTTGATTTTTGCACCTTACACAAGGTAGGTAAGTCTATGGTATTAAGATTTCATATAACGATACTATACCCAAAAATTATTCTCAGTCGTAGATTTNGTTGATTTTTGCACCTTACACAAGGTAGGTAAGTCTATGGTATTAAGATTTCATATATCGATACTATACCCAAAAAATTATTCTCAGTCGTAGATTGTTTTTTAAGAAATTTATAGTCATTGAACATAAAAATATTAAAATTTTAATTAAAAAAAAGATGTCCAGTGGGAACTGGGCAAAGGGCAAGGGTGCCAGCAAGGTGGAAAGGGCCCACTGAAATGATTGGATAGTACCAGAACAGCTAATATATACAATCATGGTAAGGTGTAGAGTTCATACCTTTATTGCAGTCAATAGATACCATTTTAGGTTCATGCATGAAAATTTCTCATTTATGGGCATGGATGATCTTTCTATTTGAACTATGCCATTGCTCAGCTGCCTCTTTTTCACATTGAAGACTATGAACTGTGGAAAATTTTTGTCAGAAATGTAGTTAGGGTTGATAATTATTAACATGATGCACACTAATTTGACATAAAAGTTAACACACACACATTGTGTT